ATTAAAAGTACTGACCCAATTAATAATATATAAATATCAATTTAAAAATATTGAAACCAATTTTACAATTATAAAATGCTATTAATCTTAAAGTAGGTTATAATTGCAATTATATGCAATTTAGCTTCTAAATACCAAATAAATTTGTAAATATATACAAAAATTATCTTAACTATATTTTGGTATAAATATGGGAATAAAATAAATTAATCACCAAAACTGATGATTTTGGGAATAATTATGGATTTTGCACTGCTAAAATAGACAATAAATTGATTTCAAAAAATCTTAAAAATTAGGGAAAAAATACCAAAACTCTTGGGGCATGCTTATATGTGCATGTACATGTTATTTTGAAAGTATTTTATATAAAAATACATAGGAAAAAATTGGGTATCAACACCACCTATTAATACGAGATATCCATCTCTAACTCCCGGGCCATGCTGGTCCCGATGCTGGGAATGAGTCCCTCAATAAATTGACGGACCCTTTCTCAAGCTGTAGAAACCAATGCCGGTGCATGCCTAGCCAAGTCATTGAAATGGACTGCATACTCTGAAACAGTCATAGTACCCTGGCGCAACTACTCAAACTCCGCACACCATGCGTCCCTGAGGCTTTGAGGGATATACTCGCTCAAAAAGATGTTTAAGAACTGAGTCCATGTAAGAGAAGCTGCCTCAGCCGGACTGTCCAACTCATAAGTATGCCACCACTAATAGGCTACTCCTCGAAGCTGAAAGGCAGTGAAAGAAACCCCACTTGACTCTGCTATGCCCATAGTGCGGAGAATATGGTGGCACTCCTCTAGAAATCCCTGAGAATCCTCTGATGCTAGACCACTGAATGTAGGAGAGTCGTACTTCTTATACCTCTCGAGCCTACGCTCCTCCACCTCTAACGCTGCTGCACTACCCTCGGGCTGAACTGGGGCTACATGTGGTACCAGTATAACCTCTAGAATCTGATCAACCTGGACCCGCTGCTCAAGGGTGAGGGTGGTAGGAGTCTATGCTCCTCCTCCGTCCTGAGATGTGGCTAGAAATTAACCTTGCCTGAGCTAGAGTGTTGTACATTCTCATGAACCGTGCAAGGGTCTCCTAAAGAGCTGGTGAATAGTGGTAGGGGTATCAGGTGCCTGTGCTCCGACTGGAGCTACTAGTGGCTCCTCAATAGCAGCTCTCTCGGGTGCTCTGGCTGCACCACGTGTGCGTCATTGGCCTCTACCCCGGGCTCTGCCTCTGGCGGCTCTAGCAGGGGGCGCGGGTGCCTAGTCATCTTCGGTTGCACGTGTCCTCACCATCTATGATAGAATAGAAGACATAAGTTTAGAATTTCGAAGTCAATAATCTCGCACGACAAGGAATCAAATGAAGTGGAATTTTCCTAACAGTTTCATAGCCTCCCGAAGATAAGTACAAACGTCTCCGTACCGATTCGCGAGACTCTAATAAACTGGCTTGTGACTCACTACTCCTATGAAACTAGATCTCCAATACCAACTTGTCACGACCCAATTTCCCCCTCCGTGAGTTGTCGTGACGGCACCTAGTCTCTACGGCTAGGTAAGCCTAACACTTTGAGGAAAATAAAACAAAAGCATGAACATTAAGTACTAATAGTAACAATATCTAATAAACAACTGAACGCCACCCGGCATATACAATTATCACATCTGAAATGTACGAAACAATTACCAAAACCCGAAAACTCGCAAGTTACAAGCTACTAAGAAGTCTTAACTGTTCTATATATCAGTTCTATAGAAGGAAGGAAAATGAACATAGGGGGATAGAGGGGGACTCCGAGGATCTGCGGGTGCGGACAGATGTTCCTTAAAGTCTCCAATAAGCAGCAGCGACTGCAATTAGTGATGATGCTGGTAAGATAAACCTGGATCTGCACGCAAAAAATATGTGCATGAAAAGGCATGAGTACACCATAATGGTACCCAGTTAGTACCAAGCCTAACCTCGATCGAGTAATGACGAGATCACGTCAGGGCCCTACTAGTAAAAATATAATAAAATTTAACAAAAAGAAATATCACAATAAGAACAAATACTAAAATTTACCAAGAATATAAGCAAAGAAGAACAACAGCGCTGGGGGTCTCCCAGGATACCGTCCCGTAATCCCAAACGTTAATGTGTAAGGGGATCTTCCGGAATACCGTTCCGTAGTCCCAAAGTAAATATGCAGTGCTGGGGGATCTCCCGGAATACCTTTCCGTAGTCCCGAAATACAGTTCCATAGTCCTAAAGTAAATATGCAGTATATGGGGATCTCCTGGAATACCGTTCCATAGTCCCAAAGTAAATATGCAGCTTAAACAATAGAATTTACAACTACAACACGGAAAGTAAATATGCAGCTTAAACAATAGAATTTACAACTACAACAGGAAATCCTACAATTTTGACTAAAAACAAGACAATGAGGTAGCATAAATTTCGCTAAGCATGCTGCACAGAGTTCAGATAAGCAATTAAGATACGTAGACATGATGTTCTAAACAAAACATGATAATTAAATATGCTAGTATAGCTCAGTTAAAGGAAAACATATATTTTACTTAATGAAAACGAAGTTTTCAACAAATAGCATGTGTATGCACTTGTCACCTCACATACACGGTGCTCATATATCAAACAATACCAAATCCTAAGGGGAGTTCCCCCAGACAAGATTAGGCAAGCCACTTACCTCGAACCAAGCTCAAATCAATCCGTCACAATGCTCTTTTCACGAATATCCGACTTCGAATGCCTCAAATCTAGATAAAAATAATTACATAACACAAATATAGCTACAAAAAACTAATCTAGCTAACGAAATCAAATCTAAGGCAAGAAATTAGAAAAGCGTCCAATAAGACTTCCCGGGCCCACGTTTCGAAATCGGGTAAAAGTCACAAAATATGAACACCTATTCACTCACGAGTCTAACCATACCAAATTTACTCAAATTCGATACCAAAATCTTGATTAAAACCCCAAAATTCGACCTAAGAACTTTTCTCAAATTTTCCAACTCAAATCCCTAATTAAATGATGAAATCAACAGTGGATTAATGGAATACAACCAAAACGAGTTAGGAATCGTTTCCCAATAAATTCCTCTAAAAATCCTTCAAAGAATCACCAAAGTCCAAGCTCTCAAGTCCAAAAATGAAGAATGAATTCAAACCCTCGATTTTGCCCTATTTCTGCAAATTAAACCGCACCTGCAGTTACTTAATCACTTCTGCGGCTAAAGCTCCACACCTGCGGAATTTCATTAAACTCCCAGATCCACATTTGTGCACAGCCATCCGCATTTGCGCACGCGCATCTACGCATCATTGGTTCGCTTCTGCGATCTACCCTCGCTTCTGCGATTCTTTCTCCGCAGGAGCGAGTCCGCTTCTGTGTTCCCTTCACCGCACATGCGACCACTGGCTGCCCAGATTAAGGATGCATCTGCAATTTAACAACTACTCATGCGAGCCCACACCTGCGGTCTCCCCTCCGCAGGTGCGGAAACACCAGGAACCGGCATAACTCAGCAATGGCCTAAGTCCAAATTGCAACCCGTTGAGCATCCAAAACACACCCGAGGCCCCTGGGACCTCAACCAAATATACCAACTAATCTTAAAATACCATACAAACTTAGTAGAGCCCTCAAAACATATCAAACAATGTTAAAATCATGAGTCATCCTCCGAATCAAACTTAAGGAACTTGAAACTTCCAAATTCGACAAACGATGCCGAAACCAACCAAACCACGTTCGACTGACCCAAAATTTTGCACACAAGTCATATTAAATATTTCAGACCTAATCCAACTTCCGAAATTGGATTCTGACCCCGATATCAAAAATTCCATTACCAGCCCAGGACTCCAAAAATTCGACTTTTGCCATTTCACGCCTAAATGAGCTACGAACCTCCAAAACACAATCCAGACACGCTCCAAAGCCCGAAATCACTCAACGGAGTTAATGGAATCAACGGAACTCCATTACGGAGTCGTCTTCACATAATTTCGACCACGATCCAAATTTTAAGATTTAAGCCTTCGTTTAGGGACTAAGTGTCCCAAACACTTCCAAAAACGAAATGAAACCTCCGACAAGTCACAATAGCAGAAATAGATATGGGGGAAGCAGATAATAGGGGATCAGGGGTCTAATTCTCAAAACGACTGTCGGGTCGTTACATGTTTTGTATGAGTGGTAAGATTTCGAAGTGCTTGTTGGTCAGTGAGTATTGTAAATTTGCATCCAAGTAAATATTGTCACCATTTACCAACTGCCTGGGTGATAGCAAATGTCTCTCGGTGGTAAGTAGAAGCTCATTACATCCAGGGGCTTAATTTTATGCTAAAGAAGGCTACAGGATGGCCCGTTTGAGATAAGATTGCGTCTATATCCACACCAGATGCATCAGTTTGTAGCTAAAATTCTTGACTAAAATCAGGAAGTGCAAGAACAAGAGTCGAACTTACACACTTCTTTAAGGTTTCAAATGCTTCATGTGTTTGCTCATTCCATTGGAAGACATCTCTGCGCAATAGGTCTATCAAAGGAGCTGCGATGGAAGCATAATGATAGATGAATCTCTGATAATATCCAGTGAGCCCCAAAAAACTATGAACATCCTTCACATTACTGGGAGGTGGCCATTACTAGATCACAATAATTTTTGTCGAATTGACTGCCAATCCTTGATGAGATAGTACATGTCCAAGATAATCAATAGTTTGTTGGCCGAATAAACACTTGATCCTTTTGGCTACTAATTGGGGATGCCAGAGCAGTTGTAGCACCAATTGAAGGTGGGTCAAATGAGCAATCCAATAATGACTATAGACGAGTATATCGTCAAAGAAAACCAACACGAAACGTCACAAGTAAGGTCGGAAGATATCATTCACGGTGGCTTGAAATGTGGAGGGAGCATTGGATAAACCAAATGGCATAACCAAAAACTCGTAATGGCCATCATGAGTCCTAAATGTTGTTTCCCAGTATCTCCTGTTTGAACACGTATTGAACACGTATCTGGTGGTACCCCAAAAGTAAGTCCAGCTTAGAAAAGTATCGAGTCTCATGTAATTCATCAAAAATCTCATCTATCATGGGAATTAGAAAGCGATCACGCACAGTTAGGGCATTGAGGGCACGATAATCCACACAAAATCGCCATGTTCCATCCTTCTTTCGAACTAGTAGCATCGGAGAAAAGAATGGGCTATTACTAGGTCGAATGATGCATTCTTTTAACATCTCAGTGACTAATTGCTGCATTACATGCTTTTGAAAATAGGGATAATGATATGGTTTGACATTAACAGGACTGATACCTGGTTGTAAGTGAATCGCATGATCTTGGGATCGTTCTGGAGGCAGAGGTTTCTGAAAGACATCTTCAAATGAATTGAGTATTTCCTTGAGTTCAACTGGAGTATTTTCAGAGGTGACCATGTCCTCATGCACCAACTCCAAACAAAAGAAGGAAGATATGGCATCAATAGCCGTTAGATGACGTAAACTATGTAGCTGAACTGGTTGGACCCCTGTAGGCGATTCCCCTTGCCAAAGATAACTTATTCCCTGGAAAGAGAACTAAAAAATGCGATTGGAATAATATTTGACTGCTGGACCTAATGTAGCAATCCAAGAAACTCCTAGAACCAAATCAGCTCCGTGTAGTGCGAGCACATAAAAATCAAGGTAAAGCTCACAACCTTGTACAGTCAGAGGAACCTGACCATGTCCCCCATCGAGCAAAACCTAAACCGGAGATCCATTGACATGGCCAGTGAATCGAAGTGTATGTGGTGAATGCCCTCCTGCCAATGCATGATAAGAAATAGAGGAATGTTCCTGAACCTCTAAACATTGGAGTTCCTCTGCCAAAGCTTCATCAGTAATGAGGGGTTCCACTACCGAAGTCTCTCCTTCGTTCTCATTAACTAACAAAAATAATTGAGGAAGAGATTTTCACTTATGACAAGCAGAATACTTCTCGTCACAATAATATCAAAGACCCTTCTTACGGCGATTCTGAATTTTGGCCGGGGTAAGGCGTTTAAGAGAGAGACGATTGGGGTTTGTATGTGGTTTTGGACATGGGAGGGCCAAAAGGTTGGAGCGAGACTTAGGGGGGAAGCGAAAGTCGATGGCGATGAGATCGGAGTGGGCAATAGAGGTTGAGTTTTAGGAAAAACGAGTCGGGTGGTCCTTTTTCAGCAGCTATTCTTTGCTCATGTAGTTGGGCCACCTTGATGGCCTCATCTAAAGTTTTAGGCTCGTGTAACAAGATAGATGAATTAATATCATCTCGCAACCCAGCAATAAAACAACGAACTAGAAACTACTCTGGCAAGGCCATTGACTCATTGACAACTGATTCAAATCGGCGTTGAAACTCCTCAACCGTCGATGTCTGGAATATCTTAGATAAATGACCCTCCGGCGTTTCCAAATGACGAGTGCGGAAACGCAACAAAAGTTTGTCCGTAAAAGAATTCTAGTCACTTGGTTGTTTATTTCGAAATAGCCATCGATACCAAATTAGAGCCGTGCCGTCGAGATAAAGGGAGGCAAATGACAAGCGTTGTTCGTCAACAATGTCATAAAACTCAAAGTAGCGTTTTGCTTGAAAGATCCAACCTTCTGGATCAACACCGAAGAAACGAACAAATTCCACACGAGCCGGCTTATGATGTACATGTTGTGACGCTAGTTCACCGATAGGACGTGGATGAGATTCTTCCAATGGTAGCAAATGAGTAGTTATATTGGCGAGTTGGGCAGCCAAGTCATCCATCGTGGAACGGATTACATCTAACTCCGAATTAGGACCCATACGGAATTGTAGGAGTGTTGAGTTCGGATTCGGACATAAGAGAATGAAAGCACCAATGTAGCAGTTGCTACCAATAATACTTAACCACACAAACAATAACTAATATTGATATGTAAAGGGAATTACAGTGATGAAATTAACATAGAGTTGTAGGGAGTAACAACTGAAAGAAGAAGGAGATGAGAAGTAGAACTACAGAGATATAGATGAGAAGAGAATATTTTCAATAACTTCTGCCTAACTTTTCCTAATCCACTACTCTGCCTTATATAACCAACTTCTATAACTACATTACCCACGTCCCACTAAATAATCACGTAACTTTGAAGGCATTTGTCTCGCTCGTTTTCCCCTTTCCGGATTGTCCTCAATAACATCCTTCATGGACTCCACTTCAGCAGCCAACTCGATAGCCCCGTCAGCAAGTTTATTTTGTGATTCTAGATTTATAACAGAAGTGGCCCTTGTGTCAGTATAAACATGTTGCAGAACATTACTTTTATTGTAAATATCTATTCCTATACTATAAATGATGATAATTAGGCAGCTCATGGTTAATATATTTGTCTGGCCCAAGCATAAAATTGTAACTATAATGTAAATAAGGATAACTAGGCAGCTCTTGCTGCTAACATGTTTGCCTGGACCAAGGATAAAATTGTAACTTGGTACTACAGCTCAACACGTAGAGCCCAATTTTGATAACACGTGGTCACCGTTTGATTTCTGAAACGCTCCATCTGTGAACACCTTGTCTCATACCTCCTCTCCATCCTTATTTCCTACTGTGTCTTCAGAAGCTGTGAGCGAGAGGATCTAAAAGCTTAGTCATTGAAGTAGTCCAGAAAATATCCTCAAGCTATAAAGGCTTACGACAACAGCAACACTGATTGATGCCAGGTCTAAAAGCTTCCTTTTGCGGCCTGATTCCAGACATGACAGTAGCATCAACTACCAAATAAATGTATTCCTCCAAGTTACTGAGATCCACCTGCGAATTTCATCCAAGGTATTGAAAGAAATATCAATAGAAATTACATATCTGATCTTACCTGATTTTCCTGAAAATTAACTCAAATTATTTTCTTGTGTTTCTCTGTGCCTTTCTCAGTTACTACTTAAAATTGGTGCCTTATTTGCTTTATTTACTTATGATACCATTTATCCTCTACTTTATTTTCTTCATAAGTCGTCTACAGAGTTTTTACTTTCTCCCCCATTTTAAGGGTGAGAATGCATCTGCTTTTTGTTATATAAGTGTAGGATTTATTCTGCTCTCACTCCTCCCCTCCATCTGTGTTTCTTGTATTGATTGTTTTCAGTCCTTGATTATATGCTAGGTATTTGTGTTTTCTCCTGAGTAGCGAGGGGATTCGTGCAGAGAAAGTGTAACATGTTAATAAATTTTGTTCGCCAGGTGTTTGACAAAATTCTTCAATCAGATTTTCTATAAGATTTCTTATGCATGCTCTTGCCATGTACTTTTTAAGTCCCCAATTTCAACAATTGTTCTGATTCTTCTTTTTACTTATAGTCTTTTTGGTTTCTTCCGCTTAGTTAGACTGTTGATTGTGCCTCTATATTTTCCTGTTTCTCGCTGCATCATTTTAATTTATGACATATCACTGTTAGCCGCTGGTAAAAGGGTATTTATTTAGATTGTTCTATTGCGGAAACAAACTTCATACTAATATGAAGAAGAAGAAGAAGAAGACCCAGTGATTAGTAATTTTCTTTATTAAATGAATACCGTGACATATGAACTCTGTGCTACGAAATTGTTACCCAATAGCTCATAAATTTAACGCGCTAATCTTTGTTCGAACAAGTTGATATATTAATCCTATCTTTGTGATCTTTTTCAAAGTCTAAGTTCCTAAAAGTTTACTTATTTGGCTTTCGCTTATTTCAATTTGTGGTCAAATTAACGTTCCTTCCACCATTTGAATCAAGATGTTTTGGAAAAATATGTTCAAGACAAAAAATAAAAGCTCGGTAGATCTTCACCAATGCTTCTTTTCTTTTACTTTATATAGATTTTGGGACAATCTTTTCGTGGATACCTTTAATATATAACACAATATAAGCTGAAAGTTTTACTTTTGGTAGGATAAGTGACCTAAAATCAATACAAGGAGTGATGATGTCAAACAAGCATAACTTGAAGGACTTAAAATAAGATCATTGTTTAGGAATAACAATGAACTTCCAAAATTAGGGACATTTGATGCTTTTTCCTCTTATTTCTGCCGTTTTCTTATTTTTGAATGTTGGACAAGTTCCTTCCTGGCAGTAATAGCGTAATTTATCCTTGTAAAAAAAGGGTAACTCCATCATTGTGTTATGCTTAAAATTTGGATTATATTGTCCATGTATTGGATTCCTACACTTCTCATAAAGTTCGTGCTAAAAATGGCACAGGCATAAGAACAAAGTTCTTCAGTTTGATTCCTGGTTATTTTTCTCTTCTACAGTAACCCTTATTATCAATTTTTCATTCCTGATCTTTGCTCCGCATAGGATTTTGTTGCAAAAAATCCTTGATGTATTATTGAAGATTTTTTAATAATTTTTCAACCCTTGAAATTCATCTGAACAATAAATTTGGATGCGTTACAACCAGATAAATTTTGCACTTAATGATATTTTTTTTATATGTTAGAATGCATCTATATTTGCTGCTACTTTTATATTTGAAATTGGATTTTCTAGGTATTACTGTCAAATTAAGCATCCGCGTTTATTTTACACAGCAACTGAACTGAATACTAGCATTCGATCATAGGAAAGTAGAGAAGTAGAGTTAGCATTTGTAACTGTTTTAGACGTCGACTAAAGTTAAGGTTTACCTCTGTATTTCCCCATTAAAAAGGATTAAAGCTATGTTACCAATATTTTGTATATAGATGAGTAGTATGTTTACTAATTTTCTCCAGCGTTTGCATATTGTGATATTACGAATTTCTTGAGTAATGATTAGTATGTTACCAACAAATATTCAATTTTGTTATAGACTGGTACATGTTCACCTATCTTTGCATTGTCGATAAAATACCTTTTGGTTTCTGAACTACCTAAAATGTAGATATTTCGCAGTAATAAGCTTGTGAAGATACGCTGCTTATGGGATTGATAAAAGCATTGCTATCTTTAACTTCAAAATGTGAGGATGTATTCCGTACCTTCAATGTTTACCAGATGAATGCGTGGAGATTACAACTAATAATGAGGATCCACTTTTTGTAAAGCTTAAGGGTTTGAATGGAGAAAGGAGGAGATTGTCTCAGAGTTTTGAGTATAATTATGATGATTTTATTCCCATTTTGAGGCCTTTCTTGAGAGGTTATTTGAAGATCCTAAGAGAAGTTAAGGAGAAGAGGTTGCAGCTATTCAAAGACTACTCTCTTGATGAAAGAAAGTGAGTTCACTTTTTTTCCTTTATGCTTGATTTGTCAATTTTCCTCAGTTTTACAGTCTAAAGTTCTAATCTGTAGGCATTCTCCTTCAAACGACTTCTTTTTTTCTTCTTTTACAATTTCTTTGGTTTATCATTTAGTTTTACAAATCTGATTAAAAAAACGTCTATTTGCTGGTAAGAATGTTTTGGATTTTGAGGAATCACACACTTTTATTCTTGATTTGTTGTGAAAATTGTTAATTGCATTGAGTTGTGTTCCAGTTGAATTTCCAGAATAGTACTGCCTCTGATCTTTTTTAGTTGTCCTCTAAGTTTTGGCCCGAAAATTATTCAATGTAATTAACTAAGAATGGTATTTGACTGAATCTGGAATGAGGATGAATTTGGGAAAAATAATTAATGTTTTCTGATTACCAAGTATGATACGTTACTGAAACTTTTAACCATATCGACTATACATAATCAAATGCTTCTCTAATGTACTCCCCGCAAATATTATTCAGGCACATCTTTGCTATGCTATCATTTACTGCTGAAATTCTCATATTCCTTTATGCAGGTATGGATACTTTGGGCATTGAGAAGTGGAAATTTGTCAGCGACGTGTGAGCTTTCACATCTATTGAAGCCCGTTTTTTACTACATAGTTCTACTGATCATATATGAGTGGTTGATCGAAAGATTATAGTAATGTTCACTAGCCTTGATTATAGTAATGTTCTATTACGTGTAAGCCGAAGAACCAATTGCAAGATTACGTGCGCAGAAAGGCGTTAAAGAATACATTGGTCTCTCATTGATTGTATTAGAATTTTCAAACAAGTTCATAATATTTTTGGCTACTTCGCATTCCCATAACATGATTACATGTGGGGGAAGATGTTTAAGAATATACTTTTCTCATTTCACTTATACCTTTTAGGATTTTGAGTCGGATGCTCAAATTATATTGTCAAACACGATCCTTCGAGAAGGAAAAAGAAGCAAGTAATGAGGCTTTAATCTAACGTATTACAAATTTAAGGTCTCAACACTTTATTGTTTAAGGTCTATTAACTAATAGTAAAGTGTTGGGGGACCGGATCTTAGTAGCTTAATTGATTGACTATCAGAACTTTCGCCTTGTTTAAAGATTCAATTCTCTATCTTGTAAACTCCTTTGTATCATTGGAATGGATTGGCCAAGGTCACCATTTTAGCATCGTACTGTTATAATACATTGCGAACAATTGCAAATAGAGGATTTTACTTTCTCTTCACAACATTCATCTTTTGTTCTTTTAAGTCAAGATTTTCACCCCGTCATTAATGTCTAACCATTGCAGGTCATGTGAAGCTTAAGATATTAATTGCGAGAAATGTTTTGCAACATTGAAAATTGATAATACATTAATATAGAATAAAGAAAGTATCACCACACAAAGGAGCATGGCGTTTTGCTTGGACAATTTAGGTTACTATTAGAAACAATTGCAAAAAACATTAACATTAAACAACTATTGGGCCCGTGCTTAGCACGGACAACACCCCACTAGTACTATATAGAAGAGCCCTAAAGCAAGCAGGGGACCGTCACATCCCTGCTTGTTGACAGAGGGCAGTTTTGTCTTTCTACTACTTCTATGCTAGGTATATTTCCTTTTGTGTCCTTGCTTTTTGATTTGTGTCCTCCAGAGAAAATCTAAATAGGTAATTTTGCATTCTACATTGATTGCCACCGACGATTTTGCTTCGCTTTTGGCAGAAGCGAAATTACGCGTTTTGCTTGGTATTTTGCAGCTCCAATTAAAATAATGGTGCAATCCTTCTTGATTTTATGAAATTCAACTACTTGAAGAGAAATTGGTGTTTCAGCCGAATTATATTTTCTTTGTTAATATGTTTTTCATAGCAGCTCCATCTCCATAAGTGAGGACTCAAAGAAGTCATTAAAGGGAGATTTTAGGGCTATGTCCCGCGGCATCCCAACTTCAATCATCAACTTTGAAATATATCAACAAGATAACAAAGACTACTGCTGTAAATTAATGGGAATAGAGACAACTGATTGGGCAAGTTAAAATTCGGGTGGGTTAAAATTCTTTACTAGTAACTCATGTTGGTATTGTATAGCTCAAAATTTGATCAAAAGAATTCTACTTAAGGAAGAATGACCAAGAGTCAACCAAGCCGAAGTCACGTATAAGAAGCAATATACTGGTGAGTGGTTTAGTTACTGTCGAGGTCGAGCGCTCAATTCGGCCCAAACGGCTAGTTCAACACTTAGACATTTTAGAGGAATATTCTACGGGATATTCCAAGAACTTAGGTACTCGGGTAAAGGACCGCTAGGTAAGGAAGGTGTTTTGTATAAATATCATGGGAGGGAGTAACAGAAGAGGGGGAACTGATAGGAACATACACACAAACATATACATCTCCCTAAAGGTGAAGATGTTCCCTAATCTCAGGCTCCTCGCCAAAAAAAGGAGAAAAGAGCTTAGAATCTCGGTATTCATCTGTAAATCAATTTTATCAAATGTATGGAGGTCGGTCTTATTCAAGAATAATGACTCTTTTCATTTATGTATTCTTCATTATCATTTGATATTATTGGAGCAATCATCCTTTTCATACATTACGAAATTAAATTGCAACTGTAATCAAAATTTATGGCCAGCTATGTTTGTTTGTTCCTATCTTCTATCTCACATCTAAAATAATTTATCTTTGGCTAGGATTTGCCCCAAATCCACTTATTTAATTAGTTTAACAAAAAGGCCTAATGCTTTTTAGTCAAACAATTTGGCGCCATCTGTGGGGATTTCCTAGCCAAAGTTATAGTTCTTCTAGATCTAAGCTCGGTTCTAGTTCTACTTCCCGTTCGCTGTAACTTCATCCTTTCGCCTGTGTGCTTGTGGTGCATCTTATGTTTCCGTCTCTTCATGCCTCAGGACTGGATCGGATTGGGACTTGAACTCGAAAATCCCAACGAGCAAAGTAAATCAACAACCCACAAGGTGCCCATATTCGACTATAGCTGAAGCTAAGTACGAAACTGAGATCGGATCTGAAGCTAGCACTCAGTTCATTGCCAATCAGATCGAAGGGACTTTACAAACCAAAGTAGCGGAGATGGCAAAAACACCAAGCCAAAGACCCACAAAATGTTATCTGAGTTTGGTGGATATTAGCTCAACCAATGATAGCAGCTATGAAGCATAGCCAAAGAAGGGAACATGATCGCTCCCTTCCACTCGTCAACCAATCAGTCGAGGTAACAAATGATTTTGCTTGGCTTTAACCTTTTATTTCTTGTCAGAGTGGGATAGGAACAGGGGCACCCTCACCGACATGTGAACAGGGAATAAACGCCATCAGAATAGCACACCAAGGAAATGTTTTGCGCCATATCATCCTACAAACAACGGTTGAGCGAACCCCCCAGTAAGTTGGTACTCAATGCCATAAAGGAAGAGTTTGTATAGACTGGGACTAGGTCACCAGGCCGAAAAACATACAAATTTCTCCAATATGCAGATAGAACACAAGTGCGTGAAACTCACTCACGGGCTCGCCAAAGCCACTATGCGACGACGCAACTAGCTAAAATTCGACCTCATACATACATTTAGATGTCCCGAAGCTTGAGCGAAACATTCATCGCCCGACCTATCAACTATCTCTCCAGGCCGAGTGATGAAGGAGTTAGATAGACTAGGACTTCCCGAATGTGTGCACGAACCGTACAACAACATGTAGTATTCTCCAATAAATGAGTAAGCGAAACATCATACGGAATTTTTACGCAAATCCACCAAGTTTACACATCACACCAACAAAGGAAGTATACATTCTACCTCACTCGAATTAGCAAGCCAAATTCGACTTCGCTCGAATTAGCAAGTTAAATTCGACCTCGCTCTAGAAAACAAATTCGACCTCGCTCGAATCAATAAGTCTAAATTCGACCTCGCTCGCATCAACAAGTCTAAATTTGACCTCGCTCGAATTAGCAAGACAAATTCGACCTCGCTCGAATTAGCAAGTTAAAATCAACCTCGCTCAAATTAACAAAACAAATTTGACCTCGCTCGAATTAGCAAGTTAAAATCAACCTCGCTCAAATTAACAAAACAAATTTGACCTCGCTCGAATCAATAAGTCTAAATTCGACCTCGTTCGAATCAACAAGTCTAAATTCGACCTCGCTCGAATTAGCAAGATAAATTCAACCTCGCTCAAATTGTCAAGTTGAATTTGACCTCATTCGAATTAACTACCAAAAGTCAGGGACTCATTGCTAAAAGATCCAAGAAATTCGAAAAAGAAAAAAGAAGGAAAGGCTAAAAACATACACTAAAGGACAAATCAACTGTTCCATTCAAAAGGAAAATAACGTCTTACAAAGGGCAAAAAAGGCCCCCACCCAACTAACTAAGTACAGAAAACTAAATACTGGAGGAAAAATTAAGTACAAAAGCTTCACTTAGCATTATCCCTATCCATGCCGTCATCTTTCTCCCCACTTGGTTCAACGACTTCACCTCTATAGTCACCCTCTCCATCGGAATGTCCGTCGTCAAAGGCAAGCCCATCCTCGGACTCATCAACTCCACCAGCCTCCGGTGTCACGAGGTCATAACTATAGGCAAGCCGGGCCTCACACGCTTTAGCACAAGTCTCTTCAAAAGCGGCTTTAAGAACACTCCTCGCTGCCAACAAACCCTTATATATATCCCGCTGAGCCTCAGCGTGGATCCACATCTCATACAAAGGGCGAGGAATGACAACAGAGGTGGACGCAGGAGGAGTCGAAGCCAACAATTGAGCTCTCTTAGCCTCGAGAGCAGCAATTTGATCACCCAAGGTCGAGACGTCTCTCTCAAGCCCGTCAATTCTTTCATCAAGCCACGCCTCCCTCAGAGCGGCCGTTTCCATCTCAGTTGCACGTTCAGACCCGAGAACGTGGATAGAATCTTCCAGTGCCGCAGCCCTCACCAAGACCGCTACTCGGGCTCCCTTAGCCCTCTTGAGCTCGGTCGCCTTCCCTTCCAATTCGGTTACCTTCTCCGCCAATTCAACACTTAGACCGGTGATCCTAGTGTCGCTCTGCTCAAGCTTCGCCCGCAGAGCCACCACCTTCGCCTGAAGATCAACACACTCAGTTGCAACACCCTTGCACACTTTGAGCTCTTCTTCTTTATCCCTAAGCAGCCCCTCGAGTTTGTTGCATCCTCCCATACACAACAGCATGTCCTTGTCCTTCCACTCCAATTCCTCCCTAAGGGACTGAGGATTGCCGCCCGCCCTGAGTCATGCATACATCTCGCGACACTTGACATGATATTTGTGGTATTTTGAAACTATTTTCTGAAAAACGGCAGCCCGCCTCTCCTCGCGGCAGATACTTTTAGTCTCCAAAATGAAAGTCTGAAAAAAGAAAAGAGAACAGAAAGAGAAAATTAGCAAGAGTGGAATACGTAAAACGAAGAAATCAATAGACTCACCCTCAAAGCCATTCCGGCTACGCCCCGTGATAGGCCAACATTACTGATCTTCTGAAGGGCCATGCTTTTATTAGCAGAACAAAGAAGGGAAAATTGGGGCACCAGGCTCACCGTGTCCTCCAACAAATCGCACTCTAGAGCAATGTCGATCACACGGAAGGAATCATCCATTCCCGCCTCCACCCGAGTGAATCTTGCCTCAAATATGCTTATGTCTTCGGGATCAATATCTGAACCGGATTCATAGTCGTCTACAACTATGCCCTTTTCCCTCTCGCTGGCTGAAGAGGGAGCACGAGCCTGTTGTAAAGTCGATGAACCACTCGAAATGATTGCAGCGGCCTCCGAGTTCTGCTCCTTACCACGGTAGACTCCCTCACACCAGAAATGGGCACCAC